ATAGGCTTCCCATGACACCTGCCATAGAGCTGGGGCAAAACATGTGACAGCAGAAAGACAAACGGACACTGGGACACACACCCTCACACAGGTCTAGACATGCCTGGGACTCCGACGTTTGCCCAGGGGAGGTCACAGGAATCCTCCTTAATGAAGATCCAGGTGCACGTTGGACTGAATACAGGAGGTGCTTGTATTGCACGAGACTAGGACGAGGGCTGGCGAGCTTTATGCAAAGGGCCAGATTGTCAGTATTTTAAGCTTAGCTAGTGACACACTGTCGCAGCTACTCAGTTCTGCTGGTGTAGTGTAAAAGCAGCCACAGATGACACAGGAACAGACGGGCATAGCTGTGTTCTGATGAGCTTCATTTATGGACACTGAGATTTGAATTTCATACAGTTTCCATGGTTCATGAAATGGGAGCCTTTTCATTTTTTCCCTCTTGACCATTTAGAATTATAAAAATCAAGAGGTGACAAGCTGCGCCGGGCCTGTGGAGGGGTTTGCCAAGACCTGGGTACAAGGTGAGAGGTGGTTTAAGAGGTTGGAGAACCGAGGGGCTGAGTGATGCTGCCCTCCGCTCAGCCTGGAGCTCGGAGTGCCCCTCTGTGTAATCGGTCCGTGCCAGGAGAGGCATCCTCCGTTGGTGTGAGCACCCACCCTAGATAGGCCTCCTCTATGTCCATGTGACAAATCTCCCACCCAAAGGACACTTGGAGACCACATTCGTGACTGAAACAAAACAAAACATCCCTGGAATTCACCGGAAGCTCCTTTTCTATTCACCTTCTGTGCCCAGGATTGTGCCCTCCTGCAGGAGGGAGACCGCAGGGACACCTGGACATGCCCCTACTTTCCAGACGAGGGCAGGAGAGAGACCAGGGCTGTGTGTCCCAGTGGAAGGGGAGGGTGGGGTGCTGCCCTCCCACTGTGGGAGTGTCTACAAGACTAAGGATGGCCTGGAAAGACAGGTGGAGAGATACCAGAGCTCCCCAGGGGCCTGGACCAGCCGCTGGAGAGGGGTGGACGTTCTTAGCTGGGGTGCTGTAGAAAGGGTCCTGCAGGATGTGGGGCAGTGGGGGGATGGCTGGAGGGTCTGAGTCCTTTCCCACTCCGTGAGGGGAGTTGGGAGCCGGTGAGTCACCACTAGTTCTGGGTGCTGACTGATGACGCCAACTTTCTGTGTGCCTGGCAAAGTGGCTGTTGGAGGACTTGGCTGCTCCTGTCAGTTCCCTATCCAGGTCTATTGCTGGGCTGATGGGGCCTGAGTGGCTTGGGTTCACTTCCCAGCTCTCCCACATATTTGCTGTGTGACCTTAGGGAAGTTGCTTAGCCTCTCTGTGTATTAGTCGCCTCAGCTACAGAGTGAGGATAATGGTAGTGAGTCCTTCATAGGTTTGTGCAGGTGAAATGAGTTAATGCATATTTATTGCCTGGAAGCGTGCCTGACACATACTGAGTGTTTAATTAATGTTAGTCATTAGTAAAGAAAGGTGCAGCTGGCCTGCTGTTCCCGTTTCGAATATGACACAGGGCTTTGGGGATAGAGGTGACAGCAAGACGGTGCAAAGCCTGAACACCACTAGTAAGATAATAATACTACTAGTTAACATGTATAGCCCCTGCTGGGAGCCCAGGTAACTATATACTCCATAGTTTTACTTCTACGAATTTGTTGGTGCCTCACCATAGTATCTATGGGATAGGTGTTATTATTATCCCCACTTTACAGATAATTAAATTGAAGCACAGAAGAGCTAAGTGTCTTGTTCCTAAGTCCACCACAGTAAATGTCAGGAGGCAGAGTTTATTGTCCTCCAATCAGTTGCTAAATTACCCAGGCAGAGCCTGGACCCAAGAGAGAGAGCCTGGGAAGATGGGTGACCAGGTCATCCTGAACGACTTCTGTGGCTGGGCCAAAAGGGCCCAGGGTCCGTCGTGAAGGAGGGGAGAGTGTCCCACCCCAGGCTGCAGTAGCCAGGCCCTGTCCGGTGAGTGAGAGGGTTGCTGGCAGCTTGGGGGAGTCAGAGTCCCTCCACCAGCATCTGAAGCCTTCTGGGTCTCGTTGCCTCTACATAGCTGAGTGCCTTTGCACAGCGAGTGCGCGTAAGTGTGTGTGTGATGATATATGCCAGTCGTTTGATAAACATACCTGAATATCTGAAATCGCGGTGTGATTGTGGCTGCCCACATCTTTGTTCTCTGTTCTGAGCTGCCTCTGCATTGCTGGGAAGGGGTGTGTGTGTGTGTGTGTGTGTGTTGGTTGTCTGTTAGCCCTGAAGGCATCTTCTCCTTTGACACACTGCTGTTTGTATTGATGCCTTCGAGTGGGTGCCCTGGGGATAAATGTCCTTAGGATCTTCTCTGTGGACCAGTNGATAAATGTCCTTATGATCTTCTCTGTGGACCAGTGTCTGTGTCTGTGTCTGTGTCTATGGCTGTGTGTGTGTGTGTGTGTGTGAGAGAGAGAGAGAGAGAGAGAGAGAGAGGGAGGGAGGGAGGGAGGGAGAGAGAGAGGCAGAGAATCAGGAGTCAGCTAGTTCTCAATACACTAACTCCTTGCTTGCAGGCTGCCACCTATTTGCCCTCTAGCAGGGGTGAGGAACCATTTTTCTGCCAAGGGCCATTTGGATATTTATAACATCTTTCTCGGGCCATACAAAATTATCAACTTAAAATTTAGCTATGAAGCTCCTAGATTTATTGAATTTCGAGTCCCGCCTGTGGTTGCCTTGGCAGGGCCAGACCAAATGATTGCGGGGGCCCTATATGACCCATGGGCCGACATTCCCCACCCCTGCCTCTAGAGCAGCCAGAGCCGAGGAAGTCACTAGATCTTTGGGGCTACCACTCTTGGTGCTAATGAAGGTGCTAGTGTCAGGCTTTGTGGTTCTGCTCTACGTGAGAGTCACCTGGAGAGCTTTAACCAACACCAACGCCCGGCCCTGGCCCTAGAGCGTCCTGCTCAGCTGGGCAGGGGTATTTTAAACACTCTCCAGGGGTTCTGAAGGGTGGCCCAAGTTGAGCGCAGGGCTAATAGATCAGAGCGCATCTGGGACCAGGGTCGGCACAGGCTGCTGGCTGAGGCTGCTGGCATCCCTGCCAGAGGGGCTGAGAGAGGTGCTTGAGGCCTTGTCCTAGGGGGAGGCTTCCCTGACTTCACATCTCACCACCCTTTGGCCCAACATTGGTCTCCGTGCCTGAGAGTCAGCTCCAGGTCTCAGAGACCTGCTCTGAGGTTTTTCTCTAAGCCCCCTGCTGGCGGAGAGAGGCAGCCTCCAGCATCTGCTGAGGGGTGGGTCAGGCCTTCCTGTGTTCCCCAGGTAGGTCAGAAAGGGCCTTGAGCTCCCCAGCAGTAGTGGAGGTGACCGAGCCCCCTGGGGACCACTAGTGCTAAGTCATGCCAGAGGCAGCCTGTAACCATCAGGGGTGGGAGAGCCCTGGGAGGGGGTGCAGACTAAAGCCTGAGTGTCCAGCACAGCCAGTACCCAGGAGTCCTGAGGCCAGTGCCTTCCTAGCCCGGGTGGTTCTTCCTGGACCACAGGGGAGAGGCTGGGTCAGCATCCCCATGGCCACTGGGCTTCTCAGAGCACCTCTTGGGGATACCCAAGGCCGCCTTCGGTGTCTCTGAGTGGCCCTAAGCAGGCAGAGCTGCAGGTGGGTAAGATAGGCCCCTTTCATTGAGCCTGCCTGTGGCTGTTTGACCACTTTGGGTGCTTGCTTGTCACCCAGTTGAGCTTGGAGAGGCCGAGGGCAGCTCAGCGAGGCAGAGAGAGGGAGGGAGGCGTGGATGGGCAGAGGGCCAGGGCATAAGGCCCTGGGGTAACGGCAGCTCTGCCCACTGGTGGGGGTGTGCAAGGACTAGTGTCAGGGTGCACCTGTGAGTTAGTGGTGGCCCTGACATCGACCTATTCAATCTTTCAATAAATTTAATAGTAATAAACATTCTTAAATTGCTGTGTAGTATTCCATTGGATGGCTGTGCTNTGGGGGTGTGCAAGGACTAGTGTCAGGGTGCACCTGTGAGTTAGTGGTGGCCCTGACATCGACCTATTCAATCTTTCAATAAATTTAATAGTAATAAACATGATTCTTAAATTGCTGTGTAGTATTCCATTGGATGGCTATGCCGGGGCCCACTAACAGTGTCTGCTTGATGGATGCCCTGCTGCCCCATTTGTTTGCTGTTGATGCTGTTTTAAATTATGCTGCAGCGACTATCCCCACTCATGCCTCTTTTTGTTCAAGTGCAAATATTTTTCCAGGATAGATTTCCAGGCGTGGAGTTACTGGATTGATGGGAATATGTGCGAATGATCAGTTTTAGAAGCGGACCAGACCAGGGAGTGTGCTGGGGCTCCCACAGCCTCTCTGCCCGACTCCCTACATGCTGTTGTCCCCATTGGTGGCTTCAGTTGTGCAGCTCTGAGGCCTCAGCTGGCCTTTGGGCAGCCACTTTGTTCTGCATGTCGCGGAGGTGAAGGCTCTGTCCTGGAGGTGCCGTGGGTGTAGGCGGGGTGCAGGAGGCTGTGTTGGTTAGGGGACCAGGCTCGGCAGCTGGAGCAGAGTGGCCTTCTATGAGCGAGCAAGTGAGAGTGCTCTTCTTTTTCATGAGTAGTCTGGAGCTGGGGGGTGGCCTGGCTCCATGAGCTCCTCCCGCATCCCGGTTCCTTTCAGACTGCNGCTCTTCTTTCTTATGAGTAGTCTGGAGCTGGGGGGTGGCCGGCTCCATGAGCTCCTCCCGCATCCTGGTTCCTTTCGGACTGTCTGGCATTGGAAAGGGCGGAGGAGCAGAGAGGACAGCCTGCGATGCCTTATGGACAAGTGGCAGTTCACTGTCACACCCATTCCAGAGGTGGACACACGTGTGACAGCTAAACTTTCATTGTGGAGGGAGATGTGGGGAGGCAGCTGTCTGCCACAGAGGAGAAAGCCATCCAGACCATCCCAGTAGTCCAGTGGGGGCCTCTCCTGATGTGCTCCCATGTGTGCCCTCTGCCTGGCACTGAGTGGGTGCTCAGCAGATGTTTGTGGGACAGAGAATAAAGAACAGCATGGACGAAGGCATGAGGAGCTCCCCGCGGAGGCTAAGAGCCTTGGGGCAGGCAGGGGAGATGGTCAGGGGGAAGGGCAGACTGGCCCTACCCCTCCTCTGCCACTGGACCTGCAGGACTCATGCCTCTCCTTTCTCTCTGACCCCAGACACCTTGTGGCTGACCAGCGGCTGCTGAGTGGGAGGCAGGTGGCCTGGCCTGAGTCCCCTGGCAGGCTGAGAAGCGCCATGGCCAGCATCATGCAGGCCTCCCTGGCTGTTCTCCTGCTGCTACCTATGGTAAGGCCCCAGGATTGAGCCCTCCACCACCAGCCGGAGCCGCAGGCTCACCTGAGTCCCTGCCCCAGAGCACCTGAGTCTGTGGTGTGCCCTAAGCTGGTATCTCTGCCAGCAGCCCCGCTGGCCCATCCAGTGCATTTATGTGAATTAGAAAGGGGACCCTATCTTCAAGACCCTCAACTGACTTGGCCAGAAATCGCTACGTGGTCTACAGATCTATCATGATGCTGACATGGGGGCGGTGCAGTACAGATCCTACTCACTGGGCAGGGGCCCTGGGCAGGGCTGCAGAAGGCTCTTTTGACCCCTGTCCCCCGCCCAGGTCAGAGCTCCGAAGCCTGCTCTTTGTTCCTGTCTCTCCCAGAGAAAGGGTGGTGGGGAGGGTTCCCAGGCCTTAGGCCTCGGCCCCTGCTCCGAGCTGGGAATTCATACCAGCTGGGTATAGCTGTCTTGAGAGTCCTGCCTCTGCCCTGTCTTATTCTGTGACCACAGACAGGCCAGTCCCCTCTCTGGAAGCCACCTACACCTGTGTGAACAGTCAGGGCCAGACCAAACACGGCCCTTGGCAGCTCAGATGCCTGTGCCTGCCTCTGTGCTCCCCAACATCCCATTATGGAACCATTCCTGTCCCCTAAATTGAGTTAGTGACGACAGCATCAGGACCCAGCTGTCATGATAGCAACGAGTGGGCTTTGAAGTTACTTGGCCCTATACTTGAATCCAGCATCTGCCAATAACCAGCTGTGGGACCTTGGGCAGGAGTTTCTTAACTTCTCTGAGCCTCGGTTTTCTCTTCTGTAAAATGGGGCAAGAATAAATGAGAGTGGTTTGTAGGCCCACCGAATGCTTCACCTGTACCTTCTTGAGCCCCCAAAGGAGAGAGATAATGCACTCTCCCAGCCCCTCCTCTCTCCCACTCCCTGCTTGCTCCCCTAAAGTGCAGTAGTAGCCTCGTGGTCTCTGGAGCTACACTGCCTGGGTTCAAATCCTGGCTGCACAATCTACTAAGCTGTGTGACTTTGAGCAAGTTACTTAACATTTCTGTGCTTAAGTTTTACATCTGTAAAACGAGAAATAGTAGAAATAGTACCTACTTTTATAGTACTCTGGATATATATATACACATATATGTCATACACACATGATATATGACAGAATAATGCATGCATGTGGCAAAGAGCTATATATGTGTTTGCTACTATTTTTATAAGACATGGAAACTGAGACCCAGGGATGGGGTGGGATTCACCCAAGGCCACACACCGAGTTGGTAAAGAACCCTCATGGTATCTGTGACAGAGTGGATGTCAGGGTCCCTGCTGGCCCCGAAGTCTCTCTGTCACTGTCCTTTCCCTGCTTCCCCCCCACCCCCCGGCTCAGGGAACGGTGCTCATAGATGAACCTTCCTGCTCCCTCCCTCCCACCACTCATCCCTGTGTCCCCTGCAGGCTGCTTCCATGCACTCCGACTGCATGTTCAAGCAGGAGCGAGCCCTGTGTCTGGAGAAGATCCAGAGGGCCAATGAGCTGATGGGCTTGAACAACTCCTCCCGAGGTGAGTAGGGTGGTGGGAGGACATGGTGTCCCCAGCTCATCCAGGCTAGCCTTTAGAATGGGTGTCCCAGCCTCCAGCCACCTTGTAAAGAAAGATGGTGGGGACAGGTCCCTGGGTCCTTCAGAAAGCCCTTTGGGGTGGTGGAGTCCTGGATCTGCTTTGGGCAGGGACACTGGGTTTGCCCTCCTTGGGCATGGCTGGCCCTGGATGCCTCATTGTGGGAGGGGCTGTTCTGGGTGGCTTTATGTATATGGGGCTACGCCTGATTCCCGGGGGGCGGGATAGAGCTGACGTTTGGGCTGGGCAGTGGCTGTCAGAAAGCTCATTAGCAGGTAGCCTGGGCCTGGTAGCAACAGGGACATAGCTGTTCCCGGTGCCCAAGCTGGAGAGCATCTGGGCAACCCAAGGCAGGAGGTGTGGGGTCCTTCCCCACCTCTGCTCACTCCATTGGAAGCCAGAGAATGGGGCAGTAGTGGGAGCCCCAGTCCTCGGTCTGACTGGGTGGTACTTGTCCTGGGGCTGCTATTAGCACCCCTGGCGCGGGGCGCTGCCGCTCTGCCGGAGGGGCCACACACTGCAAGACAGTTAGCGGCCCTACTTTCCCCCATCAGATGCTCATGGCTTCCCTGATCCCAATGACAATCCAGAATGCCTCGCAACATTTCCAAATGTCCCAAGGCAGTGGCAAGGCCCCTGGCTGAGAACGAGGGGTCCTGTGTCACCTCCTCCCCCTAACTCCCTCACTGTGCAGAGAGGACGCTGAGGCCCACAGGGGAAGGGCACCCTTGACTTCCTGACTCCCAGCAGGGCCAGGCAGAGGGTCTGCATAGGAAGCTGGGGACTTGGGAGGGCATCCCCGGAGGCCTCAACATCCTCGCTTACACCTCAGTCCCTGGAAGGTGGGGCTCTCTGCCCAGACTAGAAGGATCCACCTTTCCCTCCTCCTATGAATGGGGAGGATCTTCTAAGCACCATCTGTTTAAATATTTGATTAATCTGCAGCCCAGTTATGTGTAACGGTCCCTCCAGGCCGAGCTCCCCAGCCAGACAGTGAACATTAACCGGTAATGGAGCTGCTCCTGGCCACGCTGACCTTGCCCTCCAGCCCAGCTCTGGCTCAGCTTTAACTGAGGCTGGATGTGGATTCTAGGCCTCACCAGCCAGGGAAACTGAGGCAGGGGGCCCAAATAGGTACCCAAGTTGCAGGAGACCAAAATAACATCTGGTCCAAGACTCTGGTCTAGGGGATGGGAAAATGGGGCCCTGAGGTGTACCTGGAGCCCAGGTGTCCTGCCTCCCAGCCCAGGGCCATTGTTCCTGCATCGTAGGTGTCAGGTGCACTTGGGGTTGGGCAGGAAGAAGCATCTGGGAGGAAAGGGTAGCGGCTGGAGGTGGGGCTGTTGCACAGATGTTTGTGGAGCCCGGGCTGGAAGAGGACAAGAAGGATCGCCCACAGGGGTGTCCTGGCAGACGAGTGAGTGAGACTGGACGGCCTCCCTGGAGGGGGCAGGCCAGTGCTGGGAAGGGGATCTCACCCCAGGTGTGCTCAGGAGAGGAAGAAAGGGATTCTGGGAGAATTCACGGAGAAGATGGTGTTTAAACTAGATCCGTGGCTCTCAAACCTTGCTGCACGTCAGAATCACCAGGGAGCTTTTAGAAAAATGTGCTCAAGCTACAGTCCAAAGCAATTAAAGCAGAATCTCAGCCCCTCATGGTCACCATGAATTGAAAGGCCCCGAGGTGATTCCAATGAGAAGCTGGGCTGAGAGCCCCAGAGCTGGGCCCTAGGGACGAGTAGGCAGGTGACAGCAGGTGAAAGCTGAGGCTGGACGAGTGGGGAGAACATACTAGGCTGGGAACCGCAGAGCAGGAGGTGGGGGGAGGGAGTGAGCACCCGCCTGTTCCTGGACCCCTTTACTGGGGAGACCGGGGGAAGGAGTGGGCCGGACATGGTGCTCATGCTACCTGGGGCCAGAGAACAGCTCCCCGGGTATGGGTAAACCAGGCTGGGAGCCAAGAGTCCCATTTGAGTGTAACCAAGAATCAGCAGTTGTACATTATGTTATTAATCTGTGCTTGGGTGAACCGAGAGAGGCCAGCCCTCCTGCTGTCCCCCTTCTCTGTACCTCCCTTGTCCCTTCTGTCCCCAAGCACATGCACTGCGCACAGGACGCTGGCCACACATTAGCTGATGTCCCTGAAACACGCTTGAAAATGAAAAACAAAAATCCGTCAGTTTGTTCCAGTGACTGAGTGTGTTTAGGTATTTTTAATGTATTTATATGTAAGTATTTCATGTTGGAATGAGGAGGCTGATCTGTTAGAGGTGAGGTGTGTGGCACTGTGTGTAGTTGGGGAGATGGTGGGGGGCTCCCAGGAAGGTACCGGCACTCCTTAAATCGTTGTCCCTCACCGGAGGCCAGGATCTTCACCTCCCCAGAGAACATCGGGTGGTAACGTGTTCAGGGGCCTTCAGAGTGGAAGCCGAGGGGCAGGGTCATGCTGGATGAGTGGGGAAAGTGTGGGAGCTGAGCAGGCAGGTGAGGGAGGCAGGAAACCTCGGCAAGGTGCTGGAGGCTGAGAGCAAGCCCTCTGGCTCGAGGCTTCTGTCTGCAGCATCCTCGGCATGTTTTGAAGATGTTTATTGGGACCGTTAGTGAAGATTACATTTAGTGGTTTGTCCCTCGTTCCAACCCCCTCAGTGCTAAGTGGGACTTGAGAAAACACAGTCCATTTCTCTCACGTGACACGTGGAGAGGCTGATGCCAGAGGTGGCAGTTGCTGGCCAAGTCACACTGAGGGCCCGAGCCAGCTCTGGGACAGGCCCCAGGTCTGCAGCCCCAGCTGGGGGTGCCCTTTGTGCCGCAGTGGCCTTGTGCCAGAGAGAAAGGAAAGGACCCCTGTGCATGGGAACCTGGCTCTGCACCCCCGAGGGCCCCAGACCCACGCGGGTCGTAGGCCCTGCCTACTGGGCTGGCTGCTTTGCTCTCTCCCCTCAGCCCGGCCAGCCTGCACCTCCTCTTTGCAGGGCTGCGGGCTTCCATCAGCAGGAGGCCTGACCTGCATTTACGCAGCAGGTACCGGTCAGGTGTGGTCCTCCTGCGGGTCCCCAGACTCTGGAGGAGATGGAAGAGGGAGGCCTATAGCGGCCTTGGCAGGGGCAGAGGAAGCCTGCTCAATGCTGTTCTACCTGGCCTCTGAGGCCAGTCTGGGGTGCACACTGCCTGGCCCCAGCCCCCACCTCCACTCTCACCAGAAGAGGAGAGGCCTGGAGGAGGGACCACTGCAGGACTGGGCTCAGGCTCCCCATCCCTGGAGCAAGATCAGCCTCTTGCCTCCACCTCCTAGCTGCTCTGAGACTAAACAGGCACCCAGCGTGGGGGAGGAGTGGGGTCTGCAGGGGCTCTCACCCTGGGGAGCTCACTCCCAAATCTGACTTGAGCCTGCATCAGAATCTTCTGGAAGGCTTGTTAGAACACAGATGGCTAGGCCTGGCCCCAGAGTTTCTGACTCGGTGGGTCTGGATGGAGCCTGGGCATCTGCATTTCTGGCAAGTTCCCAGTGCTGTTCCTGAACCGGGGTCCACACTTTGAGAACTGCTGACCTCGAGGGGAGGGCTGCATCTGGAGTCCTCCCACTCACCGCCCCCGCACTGAGCTCCCATTTCACAGGTCAGAAACACTGTAAAATAACTCTCAGAAAAGTGCAATCATTTTTTACCTTCGAACTGTATGCTAAGATGGGCTTGTTCTGACAATACCCACGCATCCTCAAAGGGACGACTGTGCCTTTGTCTGAGTCCCTTCGGTGCCTCTGCTCCCGTGGGTTTTGAACACAGTGTGGAACTGGACAGAATCATCACCATGACAACCTGAGATTAGTGTCTCATTTTGTTCCAGTTGAGGCTAATGGCTCTCGCGTCCTTTCTGTTCAGCCTGCCCCAGTGGTCCTTTCTCCCGCTTTTGTCACGAGGCACTGCCTCTCCTTGCTGCTTTGTGTAGGTGGCTTAGTGGGTGCAGCCCCAGAGATTGGGCATTCTCCCACCAAGCAGGCACTGCCCCCCGCCCTGCCCCCC